TCCTCCTCCTTCTCATACGGTAAAGTGCGTAAGTTATTTTCAGGAGTTTTTTGAAGGAGAGGAAGGTGAGGGGTCATTTTTATTTCTTTGGGGAGGGAGTTCCAGAGATCAGGAGCGATCACGGAGAAGGCCCCCTCTCTTCTTCCCACCAATTGTGCATGTGACAGGCGTGGGACCAAGAGCAGGGCCTCCTCCATTGACCACAATGCATGAGATGGCCTGTATAGGCAGATGAGATTAGACAAATAGCCTAGACCCAAACCATTTAGAAATCTTCACCTCAAAAGGGAAATTAACTCCCGAAAGAGTTATCATTGGGGAGTCTCCATTTAAGCTGTATCACCAATACTTGTTTCCACAACAAGCCACATTTTTCAAAATCCAATTATCACAGGGCAGAAAGTGAAGTGAAATTTTCTGAACAGGGGGACAGACAGCAAAACAAACACCATAGAGGTGTTAACTCTTCTCTATGCTATCCAAATAAAAATATGCATTTTAGCTGGAGTTACACTTGAAAAATGTACCTGTTCTGGCTTACATACAAATTCAGCTTAAGAACAAACTTACAGAACCTATGTTGTTCAAAACTTGGGGACTGTCTGTATACGGTACAACAATGTCATGACAACATATAGCTAAAAACAAAATAGAAATACATTTGAACTAGGAATTAACCAGGAAATGAAAACATGAAAACTGCTAATCTTCAGTAGAATATACTCACTGAATAATTTCTAAATGAATGGGAAGTCAATACTTATGTAAAACTCACTGATTAAATGGCTCTACAATACTTGTGACTAGACACTGGTTGTAGCCAGGACATTGCAGAAAGAAAGAAATATCTATTGAATAGGTGAAGATGGGGGAAAAGGCAAGAACTGTATGGGTTTGCAGTGTACCTTTTGGAGAAAAGAAAATGAAGGCACTATTAACATGCTCTGGGGAATATACCACCTCCACAATGCATATGTCACTTAATGAGCCAGTGTAGGTGGCAAATATACAGTTAATAATTCCATGATAGCGAGGACTTCAAGTCCCAAGGCAGAATGTAGTCCACCTACACGGCAAGTTGTCATTATAATGTGCCTTCTCTTACTTACAACTAATCTGGCTGGTTATGTATGCTGTTTATATTTGATCCTGTTTTAATATTCACTTACTAGTATATTTTAAATTGTTACGCTGATGCTTTTATGTTAAGCCGCTTTAAGTCCCCTTCAAGGAAGGTAAAGCGGGGTATAAATAAATATAATAAAAATATTAATAGAAAACATGATTCTGAACTGCCCACCATGCCTAGATCTCAGCAGCTGATGAAATCCATCCCACCTGTCACTGCTGTGACCTCAGAGGGTGAGAAGAATGGGCAGAATCTACTGAACTTCACTCCTCCCAACACTCAAATTTCTTTTTCCTTGTGTATCATGTCTTATTTAGATTGTATGAGAGCACAGATCAATCAAATTAACCCTCCTGGCTGAAGAGCATAGTATAAATATTCTAAATAAAGGCAACAGACCTAAAGGCAAGGTATAGAGTTCCACGTGGTGTTTCATTTAGGCAGTAATCAAAGCCAGACCTATATGTCTCCTCAGCTTGGGAAAGTTGTTTTTTTGGAAACACCTGCAGGTATATCACTGGTGGCAATGAGCAGACACTAATCCTGAACAGGGACAAGGGTTTAGTTGTGCTGGCTCAAGACAGACAGGTTTAGCTCACTTCCCTAAAACCACACAATGATCATTTGAGGAGGAAACTAAGCTATGTACCCCTCCAACACAGCCTAGAGGAATGAAAAGAGAAAGTTGGGCATAAATACAGCTCACTATAGCTGGTTTGGAGAAGGAAGGATTCAGATTCCTTTCACTCCAACCCATATGTATTGGGAAAAGGGAGATTTCCCCCACTTTAATATCACAGAAAAATTTTCAGCATGGCTATATTTATAAGCACATGCTTTGAGAGGTAAATAGTACAGATCAACATAGCATGAAAAATATAGCACCCAAAACTGGACTGAGGGGGGAGGATGTGGGGACAGAATGGTGCATAGACAGTCTGCCCATTTTCCTTCTCTAATTCTTGGCAACCTCTATATGCCAGCTTCTTGCCAGGCCTATTTCCTTTCAAGGAACCTAGCAGGAGTTAATGAATACTGCACCTGTTCTCACTAATTCCTTTTACCCTCTCTGGTGACTCCTTCGGTTGTCAAGAGCAGCTATGGGTGAGAACAACATGAACACAGCAGGGGAGAAAACGAAGGGCTTCATTCCTGAGGACATCTTTAGGAACCTAAGTAGATGCAGATGACTAGAGAAGGGTGTGCAGATGCCTTAGAGAAGAGTAGAGGTCAAATGGAGGAACAAGATACAGAAATGAAGGGTACTGTCAAGGATCTGTGAACTAGTGAAAGATACAGACGAGCAATGTGACCTATCAAATCATGCTGATAAAACAAGCAAACCATTTACTCTTGAAAATATTAATAGGACATGACTTCCACAGAGAATCCCTTCAAGAAACCTCCTTGCCTACTCCATCTTCAACTGTGTATGCTAACCCAAAAAAAGGGGATAGCATAGGCATTTTTGGAGGAGGGAGCATTGGATACCAAGGGACAGAAAACCTCTTTCAGTCCAGAAAAATAATCTCAATTTCAGATAATTTGTTAGGGGCCATATTCCAACAGTGTGTGGTGCCAAAAACAAGAAGGTAGGATCAAAAACCTGATGCATATTTTAAGACCTTAGAGTCCTTACAGTAACTATATCATCAGTAACCATCAATCTTTTACAATGGAAAGAAAACTACAAAATCTAGGAAAACTCCAAACACTGATGCCCCTATGGACTCCAAAGAGACAGAATGACGCCGTGGGAGGGACACAGTTTGTACTGCTCTAGCTTCTATTTTTAAGCTTTTCTCCTGTAGCACTATCTTAAAATCTTTAAAATACACAACAATAGTCTTTTGCTTCCATTATTTGTAAGAGAATCTAAACAAACATCACTTTTTAAAAAAGGAAATGGAAATGAGCATTCAAATTGAGAAATGAAGTTAAGAGAGCACATTAATATCTCAGCATAAGAACCATGGCAGAATAGGCTAAATCATTGCCCAATCCAGCACCCTGTTTGTCACAGGGACCAACTAGGTGCTTCTGATAAGCCTAGAAACACAACATGAGGGCTACAGTCTGCTGATGTTTCTCACCAACTAGAACTCAGAGCCATGCAGCTTTTAATCAAAGAGGGAACACATAACTTGCAGCTTTATCTCATAGGAATATGGGAAGTCGCCCTACACTGAGTCAGACCATTGATCTATCTCAGTGGTTCCCAATCTTTTTTTGACCAGGACCACTTGACCAGGGATCACTCTCCAACATTAGTACAAAAAGGGTTATGAATCAGTTTTTGATCAATTTTAGATTCGGTTTGGTTATTTAGGGTGCTGATTCAGAAAATTGCATTGGATAGACCATATCAGCTCTAGTATCTGACACAGAACATATGCCATCCAGTAGTTGCCATCTTCTCGCCCACAAAAAAACGTATTTAATAAGCCTCAGCACTATAACAAGACCAGTCACTCTCATTGCAATGGTGTAGTAACGGTGAGGCCACAGACCATATTTTAGTTACTGGGTCCACAGACCACAGGTTGGGTGGGAACCACTAATCTATCTAGACCAGTATTATTGGCACTGAATAGCAGAGTTCCAGGTAGGGATATTTTCTATTTAAAAAACAAGAAGGCCATTCAAGATAGCATCTATAGCGATTTTCCTGCCTCTTGGCAGGGGGTTGGACTGGATGGCCCATGAGGTCTCTTTCAACTCTATGATTATATGATTCTATAGGACTTGTAGGGATACCTCTTAATACTGCTGCATACAGTTGTCCATCTCTAGCCCTGAGGATATACAAAGCAATGCAGGCCGACTTTATAAATGATGCACTGTGGACAGTAACTGAAGTGATTTGTGCACATATCTTTCTCTTCTTTTTTGCTGAGCATCCCATTGCTGCAATTTTCATATTTGCCCATTGTAGTTTCTATCCCTAGAAACTACAATGGGGAAATATGAAAACTGCAGCAAAGTGACATCTAGAATTGGGAAAAGGAACAATGTGAAGACAGCTAGGAATGGTAACCATTACATCCATTCTAACTGCTAATGGTGCATTAGGAGCAGAGAGATGAAGTTTGTGACTTGTGTCATATGCAATACACTCCTTTAGAAGCCGTATCTAAGGTGAAACACCTTAACGATCACAATAAACTGAACTTGATGATAGTTAACAACACATAACCTTAAATGAAATAATAGTTGAACATATACTAAGATTTGCAGTTCATAATAAAATACAAACATGGTAGAAGCACCTTTAAATACCATCAGACATAATCTTGGATCTCAGCAGAGGAGACAATTCATGTGGAAATGATAAATGACAACAACAGAAGCTGATGAAGCAACGTCCGGCTGATAAAGCAACTAAGGGGATTATTAAACTATTGTACTACTGGAATTGTACTTGTCACTTCTTCAGTAAGGGTCAAAGCAAAACATGAAAAGTTGATTTTCTGGAAAAACACGGACATAAGGCACTGGCTTTTGCTCTCTTTAAATACTAAGATTCTCCACATAGTTCTCCAGGGGCTTTCCAACATCAATTATGTGCTGCAAAGGCACATGTTAACTTGGTAAATTAAAAAATCTGAAAAGGATTAATTTTAAGGCTGTTGTATGAAATTGGTGCATTGAGCTTTTCAGCTAATGCTTATAGTCCCTATTCTCTCTCTCATATATATATATATATATATATATATATATATATATATATATATATATAAATAATTTGTTTGAAACAATACTGTATGCAAATACTAAAAATAGCTACAGCTTTATCTGTTTCTTTTCCTGCCTTCTGAAATCTGAATGACTCCCACCCACAGCAATGCAGAACCAGCAAGAGAACACATACCTGCTCTTCCTCTCAATAAGAATAGCCACGTAAGAAGCTGGTAAAGCTGCACCAAGCCCAGGGGTCCAAAAATAGAATTTACCCAGGATCTTCCTGAAAGATAAAGCACATAGTTTAAAAAACGTAACAAGAAAAAATAAATAAGTATTCTTAAAGGCTCATATGTTCTAGATCAGGTTAGCAAAAGTATGGCCTCAGGGCTTTAAGGATTCCACCACATGGTGGTTTTGCGGCCCTCAAGTCCACCAAGCTCTCTTTTCTGGCCAAAACAAAGGGGTGATCTGCTTCTCCTCTTTAAAATAAGGTGCAGGGCACTTGCTATATTCATATATTTTTAAAAACCAAAATCGAAACCTGTCATAGACTTCTAGCTATTTTCTTTCCCCCCAGTTTTTTGACTCCATGCAGCTTCCACATACCCACCACAGTTGCCCACTACTGATGTAGATAAAGAGTACAATTATTCAAATATAATGTATGGCATTCAAATGGCAGCATGTATGGGATTCTAAGGACATTAAGTGAGGCTCATGTTTCTGGGCATGAAGGCCATTCCCTCTTGAGAGTACAAGAAAAATTTGTTGGGATCGGAATATACTCTCAGTGCATCTAGTTCCACTCACAAGACAATTCCAATAAATGAAAGGATGAGATTACTTTTTAAAATTCTCCCCCCCCCCACCCCCCACCCCACTCCACCCAAAAAAAGCCCTTTGCAATCTCTCATCAACAATCTTCTGGAGAAGGTTAGAGGAWGTTCCAAAACAGTGTGGGAGTAGGGAAATAATTAGTAAAAATTTGTTTCAGAAGCAAATTGAGAACATACTGCAAGTTGCTTCTGATGTGAGAGAATCGGCCGTCTACAAAGATGTTGCCCAGAGGATGCCCAGATGTGTTACCATCCTGCGGAATGCTTCTCTCACATCCTAGTATTTATTTATTTATTATTCGAACTTATATGCCGCCACTCACCTGGGGCTCGGAGCGGCTTACAAGAACAGGCTAAAATCGAACACAATTTAAAAACAATTTAAAACAATTTAAAAACAGCAATATCAGAGATCATGTATGGGAAGCTGGGGCTGACAGACAGGGGCTCATCTCGTCTCGTGGATTCGAACCGTTGACCTTCAGGTCAGCAATTCAGACAGTACAAGAGCTCAACCCATTGTTCTACCACGGCTGCCATATAAAATCCAGATTATCTGCTTTGAACTGGATCATTTGGCAGTGCAGACTCATATAATCCAGTTCAAAGCAGATAATGTGGATTATTTGCTTTGATAATCTGGATTAAATGGCAGTGTAGAAGGGGCCTCAGTCCTTTATGCGAATGGAAAGAACCCTTCCTTTTAAAGAAGGGGAAGTGTGGCTTCAGGACTTGTGCATGTGCATGCAGTCTGCCTGTATTCATGCACACGCTTGCATTGCTGGCTAAATACAGCCAACTGTCATCTTCTGATTCTTCTAAAATAATACATCAAAGAACCTCATAAAATTGATAGTTTTAACACCTCAAGGAGTATATGTTTTACAGCATCGTTTCAGAGATTACTTTGATCCAAAAGAATTATGTACATTTTCAGAGTGACAAGCTCTTCTATGACAAGCTGGAGATTGATCCACAAGAATGCTTCCTGTGATGGAACCCTTCAAAAGACTCCCCCCATTCCCCCGCGGAACCCTAACTTTGTCCCTATGCATTGTGGATCCACAAGTTTCTTCTTTCTTTCATCTATTCCTATTGCCTAAGTGTTTTGTATAATGTAGTACATTTGGAAATAAAGAAAAAACATTTTAAATATAACCAAAAATCTTTATTTTGGTACAGAAAATATTAGATTCACACCTAAAGTGATGAAGAAAATTGTTTAATTTATGAACTTAAAATAGTTTTGAGATTGGGATTTATGTCCAACAGCTAAATATGTAAATTTGTGGCAACATTTATGTATTTGTTTATTTACTATATTTTTACCCCTCCCTTCTTATCCCAAAAGGGACTCAAGGTGGCTTTACACATAGGCAACAATTCAGTTTCATTTTTAAAAACATACAATTAAAATAGACATTTAAATAGACACCCAACTTACTCCTAACTTCGTAACATAAGTCAAACAGAAACACTGCTAGAATAGCCTTGCCAGTTACTGAAGCTAAATATCTATCAGTCCTATCCAATAATCATCCGGTCCCACAGATTAAAATTTCATTTTTAAGGCAGAGATACACTGTGTAGTATACTGTGCCTTTAAGTCACAGCCTTTGGTGGTCACACCTGCAATGTACTTTACTACTGGCTGTGTGATAAAAGCTCTCTCTGTGTAGTAAAGGCTACTGTTAGCCTTACTCTGGCTTTGAATAAACATCGTTACTTCAGGAACTCTGCTGGCTAGTGGGTGGGAACGAGGGATAGGGCCTTCTTGGTGGTGGCCCCTCGGCTTTGGAATTCCCTCCCACCAGAGATTAGATCTGCTCCTTCCCTCCTGACCTTTAGGAAACTAATAAAAACCTGGCTCTGGAATATGGCATTTGAAGATTGAGTCAATAACCCTTGTCTACATGGAAGGATGGCGACGAATTGTGACTGTACTGACGACTTGGCTTGAGTAATGTGATGATGATGTTTTTATTGTACTTATATTTTAATGGATAATGATGATGCATTGTGCTGTTTTGTAAATTACTGTATATGAACACATGTTGTGAAGCGGCCTGAGTCCCTCCTTGGAGGTGAGAAGACCGGTACATAAAACTTCTAAATAAATAAATAAATAAATAGTGAGTCTGTGATATACGAAGACCATTACACACTGAATTTCTATAAAATGTTCATACTCAGGCATCTTATAGAAATTCAGTATGTAATGGTCTTCGTATCACAGACTCACTATTTATTTATTTATTTAGAAGTTTTATATATACCAGTCTTCTCACCTCCAAGTGAAGGTGAAGACATCTGCCCTTGCGCTATGCTACTCTGCTCCTGAGTATGCATGCCCAGTGTGGAACACATCTCACCACACTAAAACAGTGGATGTGGCTCTTAATGAGACATCCCGCATTATCACGGGGTGTCTGCGCCCTACACCACTGGAGAAATGACACTGCTTAGCCGGTATTGCACCACCTGACATCCGCCAGGAAGTAGCAGCCAATAGTGAAAGGACCAAGGCAGAGACATCTCCAGCTCATCCCTTGTTTGGGTATCAGCCAGCACGTCAATGACTTAAATCAAGAAATAGTTTTCTTAGATCTACAGAGACACTCGCTGGAACACCTCAGCAAGCGAGAGTCCAAAAGTGGCAGGCTCAAACCCAGCACCTCAATCCGTGGGTGATACTAGATGAGAGACTCCCCCCTGGGCACACAGAAGACTGGGCGACTTGGAAGGCGCTGAACAGACTGCGCTCTGGCACCACGAGATGCAGAGACAATCTTAAGAAATGGGGCTACAAAGTGGAATCCACGACATGCGAGTGTGGAGAAGAGCAAACCACTGACCACCTGCTGCAATGCAACCTGAGCCCTGCCACATGCACAAGGGAGGACCTTCTTGCGGCAACACCAGAGGCACTCCAAGTGGCCAGATACTGGTCAAAGGACATTTAATCAGCTACCAAGTTTGCAAAATTTGTGTTTTGTTTTTGTTTTTTTATCTGTTTGTTTGTTTTGTTCTGTTAGAAATGTAATACAATGTTCTGGTTGCGGATGACACGATAAATAAATAAATATACTCAGGCATGTACTTTTAAAACAGATTTTATAAAGATTTTAAAGATTTTTTTATGGAAAGCCTACAATGTCTTTGTGGAACCCTAGGATTTTGCAGAATGCAGTTTGGGAAGTGGTGATCTACACTATGGCAAACATTTATTACCCACCCACCAGCAAAAAGGTTACAACCCAGATATATTGGTTTAAAGGTTAAAAGAACTAGGTAACTTTGACCATGTATATACATCTATCCTACAATTTGTTAAAATAGTAATATTCTGCTTGAATTATTCCATCTCATGTGTTATGAACAAAAATCCAACACATTGCATGAGAACTAAGCCACTTCAACTAATATGATCAGATTACAGCAGCTAGGATTAATATTTGAACTTAATGTTTTGTGTTTAGCATTTTCCATTTAGGTATGAAAAAAATGACATTTTTTAGAAATACAAATAAGTAGCAAAACTGAATTTTGCAAACAGATATGCTTTTTTATGCATGCTAAATAGATAAACAGAGTAGCAGTCCCTGGTTTATAGTGTTACAATCATTTGCATGAAACAAGAAAAAGCTGCCATCAGAGAGCTAAGTAGAAAACTAGAAAAGTAAGTCTTCCAAGTTTGTATCTCACAAATGAGGAACTTTGGTAGAGGTGCTCAAGCAAGCTAGTAAAAATGTTTGTGAGCCAATAACATTTTTCAAGAGGTATTTACAAGTTCTTGTTTGTTGTCTGTTTGTCTGGTAAATTTCAGGGCTCATTCCAGCTCTGTGTTTCACTTGGAGAGCTGATATTTCAGTCCTAAAGGTAAAGGTTTCCCCCTGACATTAAGTCTAGTCACGTCCGACTCTAAAGGGGTGCTGTTCATCTCCATCTCTCCATTTCTAAGCCAAAGAACCAGCTTTTTCTGTAGACACCTCCTAGGTCATGTGGCCGGCATGACTGCATGGAGCGGCCTTACCTTCCCACAGAAGCAGTATCTATTGATCTACTCACATTTGCATGTTTTCGAACGGCTAGTTTGGCAGAAGCTGGGGCTAACAGCAGGAGCTCACCCCGCTCCCCGAATTTGAACCACCAACCTTTCAGTCAGCAAGTTCAGCTGTTTAACCCACTGCACCACCTATTTCAGTCCTACTTAACATTAAATATTTGCATTTTCAGAATTATGTGCAATAGTTGACCATCCCATGCCTTTCCATATATTGCTGTTTTGAATGTTATTCAAATATGTAGCAAAGAATCCTTTAGAGACAAAACAGACAACCCCCTCAGAACAAAAAAAAACCTGTTCTTATATGGTCTTGTTCTGGACATCATTCAGAATACCAACCGTATGGCATGCACATACAGAAATGACATCACTCTCAATGGGTGCAACATGGGTACACTGGGTTCAAACAAAATTTTAATGTAGAGGGTTCATGCACACCTCCATATGTTTTTGGACTACAAGTCCCAGCATTCTTTTTTATTGTTACCATCTGGCAGACAGTATAGGGTGATAAAAAACAAGGACAAATAGACTGAAAGACAGCTTTTATCCTAAAGCTGTGACTATATTGTACTCTGTGGTTTCACACTGGTGTGGCATTAGTGGTTGTGCAACAGCGAATAGAACATGGAAGGACAGGTGCTTTGTTTTGCAATACATACTGTGATTGGGGATGGCATTTAATTTTGTTGTATGATGTACAGTGAAGAAAAATTATTCTATTATTCTGCAATGTGTACATACATAATGTCATTGGGGATGGTATTTAATTTTGTTGTATCATGTACAATTAGAATAAAGTTATTCTATTATTCTGTGTCTCACCATGATTCAGGCTTGCTAGAACATCTGGAATTTATAGTCCAAAAAAACCTGGGAGGCCACATGATTCTCAACAATCCTGGCACACAGTTTGAGAATTGCATAGTTACAAATTAATTAAGATATCATGAGGCCATTAAAAGGGACAGAAAGGGAATCAGAACTGACTGGCATTGCACAGTCAGTGCCCTTCCCACCTTCCTCAAGGGATAGCTTTATGTTCCAATCAAGGGTAAAGTGGGAGGAAGTCAATGAAGATGCAATACAGTTTTAATGCTTGTCCAACCTACGTGCCCTAAAAAAGAAACAAATTACACCAGTTTATCAGGTAGACTTTATACAACATACTGAAGTGTGAAAATGAAGAAGTTAAAAAACATTTCCTGAGAAGAAAAATAGACTTGTTTTCACTGCCCTGCAGGAAGGCCTGGGATGAAAAGTAAGCAATGTTTAAGTGGTAGGGAATGTCATTTCCAGAATGCTAAAAATATGGACATATTATACAAAGCTCAGCAAATAAGCCTTACATTAGGATGGAATTTGCTACAACAATATTAATAAGTAATGATGGGCCATCAAGCAGAAGTTAATTAAACATTGTTGTTTTTTTTCCAAAACAAAAAGTGTGTCTAGCTTTGAAAAACCAAAATAGAGATCAATTTGAAATTCATTATGGAATAAGGTATATCCCAACTTCTGACAAAGACAGAAAAATCAAGTTCACTAACCTTAAAATGCAGAAAAATGCAATGTATAGACTTCCATTTGCTGTCAGAAAGGATGTTGATTGCAGGATTTCAGGGAGCAGTTTGTGTACATAATAATCAAGTTTTCTCTTTCGCAGAATTGCAGCAATCTGAAAGAGATGTGTCAGTTGGAGTTGGTTTATTTATGAGCTGTATTTTTATCCCATCATTTTACCAATAATAATAATAATAATAATAATAATAATAATAATCCAATTCAACAGTCAGCAGAGTGTCTGCTGTGGACTCATCTTGTTGTGTTTCAAATACTACTACTACTACTACTAATAATAATAATAATAATAATTTATTAATTAATTATTTTATTTACTTCATTTGTATACCGCTATTCTCAGCCCTAAGGCGACTCATAGCGGTTTACAACAAGCAAAAACAAGGCAAACTATCAAGGCAAAAATTCAATGCGGCATCAACAAGGTACTTAAAAACAATTAACACAGAAACAGATTAAACAATTTAACAATAATAAACATTCATAACTAGAATCATGATCCAAACTCGTCAATCGTAGTTCCATTTCCTGCCTATTCAAATTGCACTGCCTATTCAAATGCCTGTTCAAATATCCAGGTTTTCACTTTTCTCTGGAATACCATCAATGAGGGAGCCAATCTAATGTCCGTGGGAAGGGCGTTCCACAGCCGAGGGGCCACCACCAAGAAGGCCCTGTCTCTCGTCCCCGCCAGCCGTGCCTGTGTTGCAGGCGGGATCGAGAGCAGGGCCTCCCCGGAAGATCTCAAAGTCCTAGTGGGTTCGTAGGTGGAGATGCGATCGGATAGGTAACTTGGGCCAGAACCGTTTAGGGCTTTATAGGCCAAAGCCAGCACTTTGAATTGGGCCCGGTAGCAAATTGGTAGCCAATGGAGCTGGCGCAACAGAGGGGTTGTATGCTCCCTGTGTGCCGCCCCTGTTAGTAACATGGCTGCCACACGCTGGACCAATTGAAGCTTCCGAGCCATCTTCAATGGCAACCCCACGTAGAGAGTGTTGCAGTAGTCTAAACGGGATGTAACAAGAGCATGGACTACCGTGGCCAAGTCAGACTTCCCAAGGTACGGGCACAGCTGGCGCACAAGCTTTAACTGTGCGAATGCTCCCCTGGTCACCGCTGAAACCTGGGGTATAATAATAGTATACCGCCCTATCTCCCCAAGGGGACTCATTGCGGTTTCCAACATATAAGGCAAAACATTCAATTGCCAGAAAGGAAAACCATACAGACAAATTAAAATAAACATCATAAAACATAAAAATCACGAAAACATACACAAAAAGATTAAGAACCAATTTCATTATAGCTCCATCAGGTGGAATCAAAATACCAATGGCCAGGATTAGAAAATGGTCATGGCCAACTGCAAAAAGGGCTGGGAAAGTGGTAATGTAACAAAGTATCATAGGGCCAGGGAAGTGGATGAAATGAAGGACAAAGTACTATCTAATGGCCTAGGGAAATGGCCAAAGAGTACAATGGGCTCAATATTTCCATGGGGATTTGGTTCTGGGACTTACCACATAAACAGAAAAAAACCCAGATCTGACCCATTATTTATTCTTGAAAGTTATGAAGCAGTTTATAAAGATATTGACAATGATAGAAAACAACTATCATTCAACAAATGTGCTATGCTTAAATAAAGGTTAAGTTCTTATGTGTTTACCATTTTGTCTTTGTTTTATAAAATGTCATTCTTACACCACAATTCATGCCTGCAAGTATATGTTACTATGAGCACGCAGAGAAAAAAGTTTGTACTTCACAGTGTTTCATTCTATTTAAGTAAGAATTCCTAGAAACTCAAAGAGGAAAGGGAGGCTAATGTCCCTCTCAGGACAAATTCCAAAATAATATTTTACTGCCCTGGAATTGCTCCTGGAACAATTTCCTAAGAGACACAAACAAGGGGGTATTTTTAATCTAACTAACAGCCCAATTCTATGCATGCTCACGCTGAAGTCCTGCTATGCTCAATGACGCATACGTTCTGTTAAGAGTACAAACTTGCAACATAGTCATCAATACTTCCCCATTGAAAATTGCACAAGATTTATCCAGGAACACAATGTTAACTCACACAATTGAAATGTACCTGGTACACTTAATTCAGCTTAAATATGTCTGCATGGATACAGGAAGGTCGGGTTTATCAAGCTGCAATCCAAGTCAGATTTTAATATTTCCATCTCCTGATTAAGAAAAACTGAAAAATTCCTAAGTAAGTGGCCAAAACTCCTATCTGCTATGTTTCTCTAGTCTCTAGCTTCAAAAACTAAAGGTCCACAAAAACAAATGTTGACATTCATATCAATTTTTTAACGGGTAGGCTTCATGACCTTGTGACAAAGATGGAGGAAATATTATTGTAGACTGCAGATAGTCCCAATCCATTTTTACTTTTCCTTCTTTCCAACTTTATTTTCTTTTTGACTTCTTTTTCTCCATCCTTTTTCTCTCACTCCATCCTTATGCTTTGTCTCAGGAGTAAATAGGACTACTTCAGGTGCAATGTGATTCTAGCACGGTTCTAGTAGAGTGACTTTTTAATGACAGATATATGTCATCAGTTGGAGACCCCTCCCAACAGCACTAACTGCTGTTCTGGGCCAGAGCGAAGAGAGAGAGGGGCCAGGGGACAGTTCCACCTTGTCTCCTGTGCTATGATAATAATATAATATAATTATTGTATATACATATATTATTTATCATATTATAGTGTAATACAATATTATACTACTAAGAMTATGATATTATAATTCTATATTTTATATTACCTGTAGTACTACTAATAATATTACAATATAATGGTATAGTACAATATAGTAATATTTAATACTGATATTGTACTATGCTAATAATATATATATTGTGTGTGTGTGTGTGTGTGTGTGTGTGTGTGTGTGTGTGTGTGTATATATATATATATATRTATATATATATTGTAAGCCGTTCTGAGTCCCCTTCGRGGTGAGAAGGGWGAAATGCCGTAAATAATTAATYAAATAAATAATATATCATTCCCAGGTATSGAGATTCCACAAAGGTTGAGATTTTGCTTGAGGCCTCTTAAGTTAGTTCAGTTTCAAGACAATATCTTATGTGTTGAAAGGGAAAAACTATGCTGACCTAGTTCAGGATTACAATCGCTTTAAGGATTACTGAGCAAATGGAAGAAAAGTGATTTCTCTGCATGAAAAAAACCTGTAAAATAACTCAGGCTTTCAGTTTGCAGGGGCAGCCACTGAGAAGGCCTTATACGTATTATGTTCCCACCAACTATATCTATCAAGGTATAATAGAAGTCCTACTCCCTTCTCAGGGGATGCAGCAATGCAGTGGGTTAAACCGCTAAGCTGCAGAACTTGCTGATCAGTGGTTTGAATCCACAGGACGGGGTGAGCTCCATTGTTAGTCCCAGTTTCTGCCAACCTAGCAGTTTGAAAACATGCAAATGTGAGTAGATGAATAAATACCACTTCGGCAGGAAGGTAACAGCACTCCATGCAGACATGCTAACCAAATGACCTAGGAGGCATCTACGGACAACTCCAGCTCTTTGTTTTAGAAATGGAGATGAACACCACCCCTGGGAAGTCTAACTCAACTAGACTTAAGGTCAAGGGGAAATCTTTACCGTTACCCACTCCCTTCTCTTCAGCAGTCTTGCATTCTGTCCAAGAAACACTTCCCAAGAATTAAGTGGAGGTACAAGTTTTGAACTGCACATGGAAGGGTAGATCACTCTCTCCCAGATTTAATTGTAGGAATAACTGAACATGTTTCCCATTAGATATGGTTTGGATGTTCTAGAAAGGAGCCAACGCACCCAGGACAGTAACTTCATCACCTTGGAAACAGCTTAATACTTCTTGGCTTGCACTTACTAGACCAAAGTCTAGAGAAACTCTGTGGAGAATATAGACAGCCTCCAACAGTAGCACCAGATATCAACACAATGATCTCATCTAATTTCAAAATTCAAGTAGGGCCTGTTTTGATTTTTATCTGGAAGGAAGATCACAAGGTAGGACTAGAAAGGAAAGTTGTCTAAGATACTGGAGAGGTCATGCTGAGAATCAATGCTAACAAGACTGTCTTAAAGAGATAAATCGTATGACTCAGCACAAGGCAGTTTTCTACATTCCTAATAAACAGAAAGATTGATGGCTGATATAGATCAACATCCATAATATTTGCTATTTCTGGATGGCCACAATAACTTCACATCAAGAGAATGGCTGCAATTCAAATTCCTAAAATAATATGATTTTATAGAGAAACTTTTTCTTGTAAGAGTTGCTATACAGGTTGAGAATCCCTTATCAGAAAGGGTTGGGACCCGAAGAGTTTTGGATATATTTTTTTCAGATTCTGGAATGCCTGCATTTGCTTACACACAAATAGTGGGATGCCTTGGAGATGAGACCCAAGTCTAAAGACAAAATTAACTAATGTTTCCTAGATACCATATACACATGGCCTAAAAGTAATTTTATACACAGTATTTTTAATCACTTGGTGCATGAAACAAAGTTTGTCCTGAACCACTAGAAAGCAAAGACATTACTATCCCAACCACCCATAGGGACAATTTTTAATTTTGGAATATTTTGGAATTCCTGATAAGGCAGGCATCATTAAACTGTGGCCCTCCAGCTGTTTGGTCCTTCAAACTCCCAGAATGACTGACCATTGAAGAAGCTGGCTAGAACTTCTGGGAGTTAGAGGCCCAAACAGCTGGAGGGCCACAGTCTGAGGATGCTTGAGATAAGGAATGATTATTTATTTATTTATTTATTTATTTACTACATTTGTAGACCGCCCTTCTCAGCCCTAGGGCGACTCACGGCGGTGTACAACATATAAAACCAGGTACAATTTCAACAAAGCAATTACATAACAACAATAAACAACAACACTATCAATAATACATTTATACTACAGCATTCGCCACGTCTCATTGTTGAATCACAATCCGAATCTCATTGTCCATGTTCCATTTTAATCGTCATTGCCAATTGTTGCAGCACTTACACAAACGCTTTCTCAAAGAGCCACGTCTTTAGTTTCTTGCGGAATGTCATGAGGGAG